CTTGTGCCTGGAGTTCACCACCTTTTGAGTCCATTTAAGTGCTACCTTGCAAGGAATAGTTTGGGCTAAAGTAACGCTTCTGGAGCACAAGTGCTTTTGGGGAACAAAGCAGATTATGGTGACAAACTTTTATGTATGGGGGTAGAATTTCCACATACACCTGTATTTTGTAGGTAGGCATATTTAGAGCTGCACAAGCAGCATCTTAATCTGTGTAGAGTGAGATTAAAGTTCTTTTTCAAGAATTAAACTTGGTTTAGGGCTGGGAAGTAAAGCATATTGTACCCTCCAGAGACTTTCAGTAATGATAACGTATTAAAAAAATGAAAAACTTTCTCCTCTTGTTTCTGATGTGTCTAAATGTTATGTCTGTTTTACACAAAAACTTACTTTAAAAGGTGGGGAAACAGAAGTGGATTTCTATTGGGAAACTTTTACTTTCCTAATGCTAAGAATTTGTACATGATCAAAACACTTCCAGGGATCCATAGCTAGTGTATTTGCTTTAAGAGAGTACCTTAAGAATGTGCTGCTTTGAGTTACTTGTGAACACGTACAATGTGGCAACACCTTCCTTATGATCTTTTAACCTCCCAAGCCTCCCACTGTCTTATTAGTGTTACCTAGTTCATCTTTTCCTGTGAACCTTTGTGGTGAATATGGTTTGCAGACTGTGAAAGGTAGGAGGTCTTTGGCGTATAAGCTCGTAACTGACAACAGCTCTGTTCTCAAAGTGCTTTGATATATTTAGTGTGAGAATAAGAGGCAAGACTCCTTAAGTACCCTACTGAAAAACTTCTTTAAAAAAGATGTTTTCCTCTCATGTACAATTAAATAAAACATGAGCTTCTAAAGCTACTTCTGAAATAGCTGGAAATACAGAAGGTTGGTTTGCAGTAGCTAAGGTCTATTGTATGCCTCTTGCTTTTTCTGCAGAGTTTCCTTTGCAGGGATGGTGTATTGCCACTCGAAAGGGCTAGTCATTGATTTGAGGAGCCAATATTCTGTGAAGTTGAAACAGGTGTGTAGGTGTTTTGGAACAACTGATGCTTCGTGCCCAGCATGACTTTCTTGCTTTGGGTGGAGCCTGAGCTGGGCTAGGAAAGGAGAGCAGGAATGGGAACTGTTGGAGGGAGAACTGCTAGGGCAAAACAACGCCAGCTGGATGCATTAATTTTCTCCACTGCTGTTTTGATGGTAGGGTGGTAAACTAATAATAAGCTATTCTGGCATTTTGGGAAGACTTTAAGTGTCAGCAGTCTGGTTTATTTGACCTACTGATGCCTGCTGCTTTCTTTTTAACTCACTTCACATCATAGCTATTAACACTATCAAGGGCAGGTAGCACTTTAGAGATGGACTCTATTGACCTGTGTTACAGGTGATTACTAACAGTTCCCTTTTGTGTGTTGTGCACTAGTTTTTACACCCTCATTTTTTAGGCTGTTTAAACCTCCTTTACAGAAGGCACAGAACCAGTGCTGAGGGTCTGGGCATGTGAGTTACCACTCTTAGTAGCAATAAAGGAGATCAGTAGAGGGAAAAACACAGAAGGGAGAATTGGGATACCTAGTGTTGCTCACTCCTGCAGCTTTGTCAGAAATGTAGGTTACTCTGTGTGTGTGTGTGCATACATCATTTATATTGTGCAGGACCATTCTTTCCAGTTTTCTATCATTTAAAAAAACTATTATAATCTTCCAGAAAGAAAATGCTCAGGGCCTCTTCTAGTTTCTGTGTGCAGTTTGTTAGAATATCAAAGCAAAATTGAAGGGGATAGACAGACAGAGGTTCAGAATGAACTGAAAGAAGACTGGCTGGGGACCTAAGATGTGGGGCTGAGTGTGTGGGGAGAGAGAATAGGGTTAAAGATTGAGAGTGGAGTAATTGACGGCAGGGACAATAAAGGAGATAAGCAAACAGGGAGCAGAATAATGATGGGAGAGTGTGTGGAGGAAGGGGAAGACTCTACATCTATGTCTTAGGATAAGGAAGAGGTGGTCTTGTATCTAGGAGGACATGCCTGAGAAAAGGAGAAGTGACAGGTTGATCCTGAAGCCAAAATACTGGTTGACTTCCCTAAAGCATCTGGACCATAAGCAAGACCTAACTTGCTTTTTAAAGAAGTTGAGTTGTGTTTTAAAGCAAGCTTGTGACTTGATGGATCCAACTGATTTTTGATTACTCATTTGCAGTATTCTGTTTCATCTTAGACTGTAGCCTCAAGAGATGTGAGCAGGGGTGGGAGTATTATGAAACAAAGTAATTTAATTATTTGGGGTGGGGTGGGAGGGTGGCAGCTTTGTTTTATCTTAGCAAATTGTTTAAAAGCACAGACAGATGAAAAGGAGACAGCTAATCTAGTTAAGAATAGCCACTATGGTTTTTGATATTGATTTCTTTCCTCACTCTGTCTTTTAACCTTGTTTTCTCACAATTTTAGAAAAACCATCTTGAGCTATACTGAGCAAATAAAGGATATGGATAAAATAGCTTCCTTTAAATAAGTGATTGAACTTCTCTTAACTTGCCAGTAACTTTTTTTACATTCTTTGATTTCTCTTAATTGACATTGAAATAAATATTCCTAAGGTACAAATTTTCTGCCTTTTAGCCTAAAATAATTGGTTTTTACATGTTTGTTATGTCATCTGTTTACAATACATTTAATGCTAAAAGATTTATTTTTAGCTGGCTAAGTAAAATAGCTAGTTGCTAGAGTTGTTGTCATAGCAGCAATCTTAACAGATAGGCTGATCCTATTTAGCTTTTGCAGCCAAAGAGCAACCGTTAGGCAACAGTTTGACAGTTCTGCAGTATTTTTCTAAAGATGGAAATTGTGCTGGTGGTGGTGAATTTTTTTGGTCCTACTTTAAAATATTTCTTTCTGTAGGTGTGTGGAGTTTGATTCAACCAATCTATTTTCATCGAACAGAATTTAGGAGAACTTCAAATATACAACATGTGAGATTCAGGATTTAGGTCTTAATTTGTAGAAGGTTGAAAATAAATTACATGGTGCAGCATATTGCAAGCTTCTTCCTTGATTATTTTTTTAACAGCCATAAGTATTCTGAAAGAAAAATGCCAGACTGGAGAACAGGATCATGCATCATTTATTCAGCACTAATTTTAAGTTGTGACAGACTGGGCAAATATTACTGAAGAACTTTGGGAATTATTTTTGATGAAATGCACTGCCTGGATTAGATGATAGCTTGGTATGTTAGTAATTCTGATTTATTTTTTTTTTTAATAATAAGAAAGAAAAGGTGTTTCTATATTGACAAGCAAAAGAATAGTATTGTCAGATTAGTCTGTAAAATAAGGCATACATCTGTAAGTGATCTCTAGCTCTGAGCAGTTAGAGAAGTTCAGTTACACTTAAACAAATGTCTGAATTCAGTTGCTGTTGTCTGAGTTGAAAAGCGAATTTACTGTGAGGAGTTTCTCTTGTCTGTGTCTTCCAATCAGATGGTATTGGACCTGAATTTTTGTCAGTGTTGTTGAGCAAAAGACTTACAAGCTCTCTTAAGTCTCTTACTAGACAGTAATTTTTCAAAAGATTTGTTGAAGTACCTGAGTTTAATACTAAAAGAAAGTTTTGGGTGTTGTTGTGTTAAAGAGTGCTTCAAATATGATTGAGAGTCAAAAAATCTACTTAACCTTCTAACTGTCTCTTTTTTTTTTTTTTTTCTTCTCCAGGCCTGCTTGTTAAAATGTATTGTTATCATAGGAATGCAAACCATCATGTCAGGCTTAAATGCTTATTAATTTCCAATGAATCATTGTAACTTTCATCACATACCTCCCCATTCCGGGTTGCTTCAGGGAACAGCACATCGCTTTCCAAACTTGATTCAAAGCTAGTCTGAGAGTGGCAAAAGTGACTTCTGTAACTCTTTGACTGGTATGGATTTGATGTTGTGCTGCTATTTTGTGGGCTGGTAAAGAGGAATCTAATCAATGAATCTGGCAGAATCTCCCAGCAGAGAAATAAAATGCCATATACCCACAAATATTTTAATGTTCAAATTATAGTACAGCTTTTGAGTGGATTGAGGAGCTCGGTGCTGTGATAAAACAGTTTTTGCTGTGGTCCCATTACCCAAAACTCCTGCCTCTTCATCCCTTTTTACCTCCCTGCTGGGCATCTGCTTTCCCTGACCTCTGATTGTCATCCGAGTCTCCTCCGTCTTCCCCCCATCTCCCACAAACTTACTAGTTTTAGTCCAGTTTCAACTTCCAGGTTAGCAAGCTGAACCAGCTCAGCGAAGGGGCTGTTGAGCAGCAAAGCCCATTGCTTCAAGGTAGGGACTGTGGGTGGGGGGTGATTTCTGGAGAACTGAGCAAGAACAGATGCATCAAGACCTCGCTCTCCTCTCCTGGTAATCAGCATCTGTGCTGCTGTAGTGTTAAGTCTGTGCTGCACTAGCCATAAGGCCCAGGGGTTTTGCACCAGCAATGGATGTTTGTGTGGCTGATGGTGAGTTGGATGGAGGAACTGATACAGGTTAATCTCGGGGGTGGGGGGGTTGGGAGTGGCAGGTTCACTTTACAGCATCTTTCTCCTGGCTTGTACATGGCTGTGCAGGCCGTTCTGCTGGGACGTGGTACGGGAACAGAAATGCCCAGGTGGAGTGAGGGAATGGTAGGATGGATGGTGCATTTTAGGAGCAGTGCCTGCTCATCCCTGCTTGAAGTGTTCGTTAAACTGCAGATTGAGAGTTGTAAATGGGTTGACTATTGTTTCCTCTTAGATGAGACCTGCTCCCTGTCAAGACTTGGAAATGTATTGGATGAATGGGAGAGTGTTTTTCTGATAATATGTCTAATTGGTGGTTGTGTCACACGGGGACAGAACTGTTTCCTCTGCTGCCCTGCAGCGTTCAGAAGGCACCAAATGAAAGGGAGAGCGAGCAGTTAGATCTACATCCCTTTAGCTGGACTTGGAGATGTGTTTCTGTCACTCATGTTCTGTGTCTGTTTCTCTGTTTCAGGCAAAGTCGTGCATTTGTCATATGTGTGGTGCCCACCTGAACAGACTCCACTCTTGCCTCTACTGTGTCTTCTTTGGCTGTTTTACAAAGAAACATATTCACGAGCACGCAAAGACAAAGCGACACAATTTAGGTAAGCTGTCATCCTGATACACTCACTGGTGCTTTTTAACTCTATCTCTGTCAATTCCAGGCCAGTAGGGTATATTTTCTTGTAGCTACTTCACTAGACAGGGAGAAGAATTTTATTTGTGTTTTGGATTGTTTCAGTGACATTATTTTAAACTTGGTGCTTAAGCTTCCATCGCATCACAGATAAGTCTTTGCAACTTAAAATTTGAATTATTACTGTTTAGTATCTTAGTATTTATGAATTAATGTCATATGCAAGGAAAAACAATAAAAATGTGTGTGGAAATTTTTTTTTCTGCTAAGTGCCTTGAACTAGAGCATTTATTTCAGTGAACTTCTTTTTCAGGAAGTCATGCTCACTTTTTTTGTTCTTGCTAAGGAAAAAAAATCATTCCTATCACAAAGACTAATCAAGTAGCAAATCAGAATTATTTAAACTTTTGAAGTTTTGTTGTTTTTTTCTTTTTTTCTTCCTTCCTCTGTCTTGGCTTCTTGTTTCCAGTGGTGTCAATAACCTAAGAAATAAGAATACAGGTTAACTGATATGCAGTACTTTTCCCTCAACTGCCTCAGAAACGTTGGTAAAATGCCAACAAGTTTTTTTGTTCAGCTTTGGTGCTACATAAACGTTCAAAACCAAAAGCATTCAATTTTGTTTTAAATTACTGCTTATAGTTTAGAACATTATAGCGTTACAATGCAAAGTCCTGATCATTTTATATTAAAATTCTGGTTGTATCAAAATGGATACATACAATTTTGCTTGGTGTACAACACAATTTTTCTTCAATGAAAATACATTCGTGGTGGAGTGATCCAAGGAACAGGAAAGGCATTATTTCATGGAATGAATTCTCTCTTGACCAGCGTGGCCACTGTTCTCATTTAATTTATCCTAAGTGCTTGTGGAACAAACTGTCTCTATTTTCCATGAAGACAAAGATGCTCCAGAAGGCCACCACTGCTGTGTACTCCTGTGCTTAAGAAACTGGTGTGTAAGTTTCCATAAACAGTAAAAGACTATTTAAAACAGCAAATTGTTACAGTTTCTTTTTTCATACATGTCAAGAAAGAAAAAAATTACACTCCATAGTGATATAGCTTAAGTTTGTAAATGCCTTGAAAAATAGAGTACAGAAAAATAGTTGTGAATATCCATAATGTTTATGAAGTTGCTGGCCTGTGAGAATGACATGATCATCATTCCTGATGTCAAGATAGGCAGCAATATTCAGTATAAACTGAAGCACAGATAACTGTACTTTAAATGATGAGCTCAGGAGAAAAAAATGAACTGTACTAGTATGAGAAGACACCTGAAATTGGTAAGCACTGATGAGGCCACATCTGGAATCCTGTGTCCAGTTCTGGGCTGCTCAGTAAGAGAGAGATTTGAGCTACTGGAGAGTGTCTGGCAAAGGGCCACAAAGGTGATGGAGGCACTGGAACTCCTCTTGTGAGGAAAGGCTGGGAGCACTGTGACTTAGCTTACAGGAGAGATGGCTCAGGGGGATCTCATCAGTGTGTACAAATACCTGAAAGAATGGTTAAAAAAGGTGGAGCCGGGCTCTTTTCAGTGGTGTCCAGTGATAGTACAAGAGGCAGTGAGCACAGAATGGGAGACAGGAGGTTCTCTGATCATCAGGGAACATGTTTTTACTGTGAAGGTGACTGAGGACTGGAACAGGTTACCCCAAGAAGTTGTGGAGTGTCTATCCTCAGAGATATCCAGAAGCTGTATGGAGCTGCTCGAGATGGCTGTGCTTAAGCAGGAGGGTTGGACAAGGTAACCTCCAGAGGCCCTTGCCAACCTCAGTCATTCTTTGAAAATTGAAAAAGCAAAACCAACACTGTATGAAAATTTTTTTATTGCTTTTTACAGGGTGTATTCTCAAAGAGCTTTTGAAGTCAATTCATTAGGTGAAATTATTTGAGAATCCTTACCAACGCAGAAGTACAAATTACTCTAGGTAAACTCTATCTAAGGATTTCTGGTAAAGTGTATCTATGTATAAAAACCCATTTGGTGCCAATATAAGTTTATGGTGAGGTTTAAGGGTTAAAAAAATACAGTTAAAAAAATTGAGACCGTAGACAGTATTTGCTTGTTTATCTGTGGTACCATGTAAACACTGTAATACTTTCACCACTAAACTTACCATATTTATGAAGAACCTTTTTAAAAGAGCGTTGTAATTGCACATGTTGTGAGCTCCTGTTTGTCTACATATTTGGGAAGCCTAAATTCTTCAATTTAATTTTTGTGCAAGGTAAAATTTTTTTTGTGCAGGGTAAAATTTCTCTGTAGTGAAATACCTTCTATTTCCTTAAAGGAAAAACAAAACATAATAGAGAAAGGAGGTTCTTTGAAGATGCACTCTTGCTTAGACTGTTGTAGTTATTGTCATGGTAGTAGACAATTAAGAATGTGTCAGATAAGGTTCTGCCCAAAAGGAATAGCCTTTAGATAAAAGGGACAAGAGATAATTATACAAGCCAAAGTACAGAATACAGTATTGTATCATCCCAGAAAGGATTCTTTTGCAGCTAAATATAATGTACTCAGTGCACAAATACATATATGTGAAGGTTGTACAACTGACTGCTTGATTTCTAGTTTTGGAGATTCCTTTTCTCCTTTTTTTTTTTTTTTTTTTTTTTTTTAATGTATGTTTTGGTGTTTTATTTCCAGCTGCATGTGAAATGAGCTGTAAAAATATTTTTGTAGTTTTGTTAGTGCTTTTGGTTGCTTTTACTGCTGCAATTTTCGTTGGGGAAATAACATCTGATAGGCAAAAACAAGTTAAGTGCTTTGAAATTTCAAAACGAACGGGAATTATTTTAACATTTGGTGACTTTTTGCTGAGCCAACATCAGTCTCCATGGAGACTAGCAGGAACTGCACACTTAATCACAGTTGTAAGAAATAGCATAGATTTCAGCTGTAACAGCTGTCTGAGCACTGGAAGTGATGTTTTTGCAGCTAACTGCTATGTGCTTCAGGAGGCTTCAGGATCATAGTCCAGAGCGTTCTTAAAATACATCCCTTGTTATCTCTGCTTCCCTGAGCAATATAAATTAGACACTCACACTCTGACCTTATAGTGATACCTGTGCTCTTGCATCTGCTTGCCTATTCAGTGTACGTTAATAATACTGTACTTATTTTAATATATTCATTGAGTTGTGGATGTGGGTGATGGGTAGATGAAGTAAAATCCAGCTATATGAGCTTCTATTTTTTAATCTCTGTATTGCACAGTCTCTGTTAGTTGATCACCATGATAGGCTGATATTTCCACTGGGTAGGGAACTGTTAATGTAGTGTAAAATTTTTATGCAGGTGTGAGAACATTTAGAAAGAGGTAGGTAAAGCTGACCTTTCCAAGAGTTTGAAGACTCAGAACTACTCAAACTAGCCTTTTCCTGTTCTGTTTCTGTGCTGTTTCCTTACTGTGTAGGCATCCCTTATCACTCCCCCACAAGTACATGAAAGTGGTATCAGTTATAAACACCCATGGGCATGTCCTAGGACTGCTCAGACAGAGATGAGCTGTGTCAAAATATGTAGTCTGCGAAGGAGTTGTCAGGAGCAGATAAGGCAGGGCTGTCTGTCCAGACCCTCCTCAAGAATTATAAGGTACTTAATCAAAGTCACTGTAATAGGCATCTGATTATAGATGCTACAGATCTGAAATCCAGCAGCCTAAGCATAAAGTGGTATCTTGGTCTGTGGGTGTTGTTAGTTCAGGAAATAGTTTCTGCTGTTGCAATTTTAATAATATAGAATCCGTAATTTTTCCTTTTTCCTCTTCTAATTTCGTAAAACACGTTTTGCTTCTTTGAAGTGGTTGTACTGGCTGAAGCTGTGTCATAAATAGCCAGCCTTCTACCTGGTAATGGTCAGCTGAGATATCTTAGAGAATAGGCAGCAATATAGTCATTAAACATTTGTTCCCTTTTTCTACTACTCAGCTCTTCAAAAAGTTTCTGTACAGGAGACTGCTTCTAGATGCTTATGTTCCAGTAGCTTGGCCAGTGTTAAAGCCTGGTTCCTTTTTGGCACCCACAACATGCAAAGGCAGCGAGTTCCACAGTTTCTCTGAGCTAGAAAAAATGCATGTGTTTTTCTGGTTTGCTTTATAATGTGTCTTGTCACTTTGCTCTGTATTTCTTTTGTGAGCAGTTGAGAAATGGTGAGTAAAAAGTCCTCAGTGACCTCTTCTGGGATTCTTGATCTTTTTGATATTGTCAGATATTCTCCCAACCTGTAGGATCCCGAACTCTTTTGTCTTACTGAAACTGTTGTATGATCTTCGCCATACTTTTTTATTATTTATTTCTAATGTGTCCATCTGTGATGGCAACTCTTTGGATTAATACGTTTTACTATACTAATGACTTGTATTCTTAGTTTAATACTTCCATGCCTTCTACTTTGTGTTTCTTATATGCAGTTCAGCACTGAGCTGATGTTATTCAGGAATTGTACTCAATGACTCCAAAACCTCTTTCCTACTTGGTAATTGTTATTCATATACTATCTTATTTGTAGTGATTAGAGTTCCATTCTTGATGGTATTGCCCATTTGCTAAATATCTTGAAATCCTTCTAGAGCTTTTTGCAAGCTTTAGATTTGATTATTCTAAATGAATGTGTGCCATCAGCGTACTTTGTCATCTTCCTACATAATCTTTCCAAAGTGGGTTCCTGCACCTGGGGAATCTGTTGGTGGTTTCTGTCCTTGTAAAAACTGATTGGTCCCTTCCTTGTACACTTGGTCAGTGAAGGAAAAGACATAGTCCCAGAGCAGCAGGAGCAGGAAGATGACTCTGAACAGTAGCTCTAAAAGAGAAGAGAAGTTGGTCCTGTAGAGAGAGTTCATCTTGAAACCGTAGCAGTGATTCTTTTATCAGTTTCCTGGTTGGGACTGAAAAATACTAGGCAGACACCAAATTAAGTTTTACTCTTCTTTCTGAGTGAATGAGAAAACAAAATTG